ATATAGGCTACATTGTAGTAAACAGAGACAGCTTTGGTCATAGAGGCTACATTGTAGTAAACAGAGACAGCATGGTCATAGAGGCTACATTGTAGTAAACAGACAGCTTTGGTCATAGAGGCTACATTGTAGTAAACAGAGAAAGCTATGGTCATAGAGGTTACATTGTAGTAAACAGAGACAGCTTTGGTCATAGAGGCTACATTGTAGTAAACAGAGAAAGCTATGGTCATAGAGGCTACATTGTAGTAAACAGAGAAAGCTATGGTCATAGAGGCTACATTGTAGTAAACAGAGACAGCTATGGTCATATAGGCTACATTGTAGTAAACAGAGACAGCTTTGGTCATAGAGGCTACATTGTAGTAAACAGAGACAGCTTTGGTCATAGAGGCTACATTGTAGTAAACAGAGACAGCTATGGTCATAGAGGCTACATTGTAGTAAACAGAGACAGCTATGGTCATAGAGGCTACATTGTAGTAAACAGAGACAGCTTTGGTCATAGAGGCTACATTGTAGTAAACAGAGACAGCTTTGGTCATAGAGGCTACATTGTAGTAAACAGAGACAGCTTTGGTCATAGAGGCTACATTGTAGTAAACAGAGACAGCTTTGGTCATAGAGGCTACATTGTAGTAAACAGAAACAGCTATGGTCATAGAGGCTACATTGTAGTAAACAGAGACAGCTTTGGTCATAGAGGCTACATTGTAGTAAACAGAGAAAGCTATGGTCATACAGGCTACATTGTAGTAAACAGAGAAAGCTATGGTCATATAGGCTACATTGTAGTAAACAGAGACAGCTTTGGTCATAGAGGCTACATTGTAGTAAACAGAAACAGCTTTGGTCATAGAGGCTACATTGTAGTAAACAGAGACAGCATGGTCATATAGGCTACATTGTAGTAAACAGAGAAAGCTATGGTCATACAGGCTACATTGTAGTAAAAAGAGACAGCTTTGATCATACAGGCTACATTGTAGTAAACAGAGACAGCATGGTCATAGAGGCTACATTGTAGTAAACAGAGACAGCTATGGTCATAGAGGCTACATTGTAGTAAACAGAGACAGCTATGGTCATATAGGCTACATTGTAGTAAACAGAGACAGCTTTGGTCATAGAGGCTACATTGTAGTATACAGAGATAGAGCTAATGTCATAGAGGCTACATTGTAAACAGAGATAGAGCTAATGCCATAGAGGCTACATTGTAGACAGAGAGCTAATGCCATAGAGGCTTAATTGTAAACAGAGATAGAGCTAATACCATAGAGGCTACGTTGTAAACAGAGATAGAGCTAATCCCATAGATGCTACATTGTAAACAGAGATAGAGCTAATGCCATAGAGGCTACATTGTAAACAGAGATAGAGCTAATGCCATAGAGGCTACATTGCAGTAAACAGAGATAGAGCTAATGCAATAGATGCTACATTGTAAACAGAGATAGAGCTAATGTCATAGATGCTACATTGTAAACAGAGATAGAGCTAATGTCATAGAGGCTACATTGCAGTAAACAGAGATAGAGCTTTTGTTGTACTATATTAAACATAGGCTTAAGACACTGCCTCAGTAAATATAGACCTTGTTAGTCCTGTTTAAGGGAACTTTCTTGGGCATCAGTTGTTGGTCTGCAGTCATCCAGATGATGTTTATGAAAACTTAGCAAAACAAGCTGATCAGTCCCAGTGACAGTAATTACCTACTTAGGGACAAAACTCTCGCTTGTAAATATCCCATCTGTCTTTGAAAGAACAGGAGTAAATGTTTGTGTGTATTTCTAGAAGAACTGTTAATGTATATGGGCTCATTCTGTCAAAGAAAACAAGATGTAACCTTGACAGTAAACAGACATTTTCTTGTGGACCGATTCAGTTTTAAATCAGAAGTTTACTGAAAGAACACTGTTTTCATGCCCTAATACATTCATTGCAATGAGGGATTCTGCAATTTTTCTGACAGTTTGTCTGAGAAAAGAGGACTTCTCATGGATATGGTCTAGACTAACGCTTAGTCTCTAAATATATATAATTTTGACAGAAATATATAATCCCTTATAAAAATGAAAAGGAGCCCCTGAGATGAGATCAGAACCTGAATCTGATTAAATCTACACTTGTCATTTATTGCTTTAGCGTTGCAGAAAGAGCTGGCGGAATTGAAAATAATGCAGTTCAGGGACTGTGAGACAGTTAGGGTATGGTGCTGAATTCATAAGAAGAAAGTTAGGACATTGTTATACAGGGGCACAGTCCTCTTTTAACCTTTAATGTCTGGCCATTAACTGGGTGTTGAAACCATGCCACTGCATGTGCCATCTTGTTGAGATCATCGTGGCAGTTTTTATGGCAATAACTGGTCCTAGTTTATGGTTTACCATTGAAAGTTAATGAAGGTTGTTGAATGCAAGGTTTACAGTAATGCTGAATGGTAGGAGATACCGCCACTGACGATGCTTCATGGGAAGAGAAAGCCTTAGTGTTGTATAGAAATAAGCTTGACACTGATTCTGGTGATAATCATACAGGTGTGAAATGTGCCTTGTGTTGTTAGTTAATGGACAGTTACACAAGGATCATATTCAACATGTGTAGTGTATACATCATAAATAAATAAATAAGTTGTTATCCATAAAGATGGTAATGTATGATGGATTATTAATATGTGTTGAAATGGTGATGGACAGAAAGATTGACTGATTGATTGTTGTTTAATACCACTCTCAGCAATATTCCAACTGTATGGTGGCACTCTGTAAATAATCGTGTCTGAACCAGACAATCCAGTGATCAACAGCATGAGATACGCGTAATTTGGATACGGTGACATGTGTCAACCAAGTCAGCGAGTTTGACGACCTGATCCCGTTAGTTGCCATCTAACAACAACATGGGCTGCTGAAGACCAGTTATAACCAGTTATAACCCGGATCTTCATGGGTTGGACAGAAGGAATAATACTGGATATATCCATTATTAATATACTCAGTTGGGTTTCCAGATTCAAGTATATATTCCTAACAACCTATGCTAGTTGTGAGAGTCAACTTCTTGGATCAGATAGCAGATACTGTCACTTGGTTTTGATATTGCGAGATATTTTATTGTTCATAATATCAACCTCTGTATTTCCTGGTTGATTGTTTACAGGACACCAACATTTGTGTTCCTGAGCGCAACATTAAAACTATTATTTGTATTTTGTAATAAAGCTGTCTGGATTCTGTCAACAATGATGTAGTGCCTGAAAGTATATGTGCTTTGGATGGCGCTTTTATCAATATTCCAACAATATCACGGACATTAGAAATGGGCTTCACACATTGTACCCATGTGGGGAATCAAACCCGTGTCTTCAGCGTGATGAGCAAATGCTTTAACTACTAGGCTATCCCACCCCAGTGTTCACTTGAAAGCCATATGAATCATTCAGGTCTTACGCTCCAATTGGTAGGTCCTGTCTTAACATAACAGTAACACACCCACGTATAAACAGCCAATCACACAAAGCTGTCATAAAAAAACAATACAATATGTAATACCCAACCACAAAATAGGATTCTTTGTGTCTGCAGATAGTGAGATATAATCTTATGTTGATACACATGAGTTCATAAAGACAGATCCTATCTTGGTATAACAGTAAACAGGGTTTTATGAGCCATTATGCATAACATGATAATAAAATGTCAAAAGCCTCTAACCTGAATCCATATATAAAAATTTGATAAGACAGGGCACAAAGAAAATACCTGTTTTATGCTTAAATAAATTTGATTTTGATACACAACATCAATGAATTAATATTGTCTCCATCTTAACTCCCGATCTATGTCATGTACCATTATGATATGCCTAAAGAAGATGGATGTTCTTCTTGCTGTATCCTGTATTATTAACACAAGGTGCTTGGGATTGCTCAACAATGCAAAATACACCCTAATGATCTAGGAGGCGCCACTTAGGATAACGATCTTTGTGTTATCAGGACAGACGCAAAATGCAAAAACGTGAAGCCATGTGGAAACATGGCCTTGATGGTGGAGTCACGCCTCTCATTTTCGAGAGTGAGGTTATCACAGACCCTGGGTGTTGCCTGGAGCTAAAATTAAAGAGCTTTGGATTTTGTTTTGAATTTTATTGTAAAGTGAACATTTATGGCCTGTAAAAGCAGAATGTGTTATTTGTCCAAATTTTTATTCATGAATCGTTATGGCAGATATATTGCATATAGATGTGCTGGAAATCCATGTGAGGCATCATGTTTAGCCCTTCATGGGGACAGTGGGTAGCCAATAAGTAGTTTGCTGAAGTCCTGCAGTCCCAGTTTGATTCCCTGTATGGTAAAGAAAGGGACTACACACATCAACACGATATGCCAGGCTCTAGGATTGAACATCAGTAGCTCCTGCACTGATATGGTTTAACTGGTGCTAATACTTCCCAATAAACTTATTCTAGTCAATCATATTTGATTCTTGGTTTCTAAGTACTGCAGTTTCTGACACATTCAACCATTGTCCCAACATTGGGTATCTTGTTTATTTGACTGATTACCTTATTCCTTTCATTATAGTGAAATATGGGGTTCCCTCTACTTGAAGTGGTGTCAGACTTTCTTGGATCATGATGATGTTATGTCTCACTCATGCTATTTGTGATGGTTGTATTTTAATGTTGTATTTAACTGTGGTATAAGATTCATGGCTTTGTAGAACTATTGTTTATTGTCGTACTGTCTGTGTTTAGATTCATGATTGTATTGAATCATGGCTTATGCTTCATGGTTGTATCGAATCATGGTTTATGATTCATGGTTGTATCGAATCATGGTTTATGATTCATGGTTTATGATTCATGGTTGTATCGAATCATGGTTTATGACCATGGTCATACTGAACTGCAGCGTATATTAATGGTTGTTCAGAACAACAGTTTTTAATCATGGTTGCATGGAACGTTTATTAGTAGTATCATTATGCTTTCAGGTTCTGCATGGAATTTTGATGATGACACAGATTCTACGGCCTCATCAGAGACAGTAACAACCGGCTCTGACGACCCTTCAACATCGCGCACACCACAACTGTACTACACAACACCCCCGAGAGCCGTAAGTCTCTTATAGCATCATAGCTACCATACATTCAAATCCCAGTAGTCAACCAATATCAAACCATGGCAGTTACTGATGAACTCTTTGTGTATCATTAGTAACTGCCTGGCTGCACTGAGTGTGTGTTCTAACCCGTATGGTGGACTGATGATTATGGCTTCAGTGAAATGTGAGTGAGTTTAGTTTTACGTCGCACTCAGCAATATTCCAGCTATATGGCGGCAGTCTGTAAATAATCGAGTCTGGACCAGACAGTCCAGTGATCAACATCATGAGCATTGATCTATGCAACTGGAATGCCATGACATCTTCAGTGAAATGTAGAGTGACGAATTTCTCCATGCAAACAGTTTCAATACCAATATGATTTGATGTTGCTCCTCTTGCTGCTCCTCCTGCTCCTCCTGCTCCTGCTCCTCCTGCTGCTCCTGCTGCTGCTGGTTGTCTCATGAAAAAGAGACAGCTGGTGCATGACTTTGTTGGACTTCATATGATAGAGCTGTAATTGTATTCTTTGTCATGATGAAAATTTCAACGTGTTACCAAGGTTAGGATGTAATGCAAGGTATTTGGAAAATGGACGCTGTCATATGAAACAGATGTATTTACGTTAAGCAGAGAGACTCATAGTCTAAACAAGGAATGTTAAGAAAATTGTGTCATTTGGACTAACAATAGGTTGTGAATGTTTGTAAATACTTTCAGAAATAGTGCTTGCTGCTTTTGTACTTTCTGTTTACTGAGGTGTTTTATGGACATTTTAACAGATTAATGTTTCTGGTTGTTTAATGGGCACACCACTGTCTTATAAATACATCAGGGGCGGTGGGGTAGCCTAGTGGTTAAAGCACTGGCTCGTCATGCCGAAGACCCAGGTTCGATTCCCCACCTGGGCACAATGTGTGAAGACCATTTCTGGTGTCCCCTGCCATGATATTGCTGGAATATTGCTGGAATAAAACATACTCACTCACTCTAAATACATCATCTTTATTTAATAAGAGTCTGATGAACATGGCTGGCCTTATCATCTTTTACTGCCACTGTATTCAGCAGCTAAGTTATTGAATAATAACGTCATGCTGCACGAAGTCATGACAATCTTCCCCATACTATCCTTAACTTGTCAAAGGTACGCCCTGGGTTTCAGCAAGGTGGTAAATACCTGCAATCTGCATCACTTGGAGCTTCCCTCCCACCCCAGCCTGACATTTCATGGTATAACAGTAAGGCAGTGTTAAACCATACTCACCTGATCCTCTATCAATGTAACACTGGGATGTCCTCTATACAGGGTAGTGCTCATAGGTTTCACCAAGGTGATATAACATGTTGAAGGCATTTATCATCCAACACTGTGTTCAACAGGAGATATCGCTTGTGTGAGATCATATGATATCTCCTAGGAGATATTGTTTTGAAGTAGATTTTGTACAATGCCATGACAATGCTATGACATCATCAACTTGATGACATCACAATGCTATGACATCACTGAACTGCAAGTCTAATGGTAGTACAGTGTTGAGATGTACATTTTTCATTGAAAGCCTTGGATATTTGTTACTTTATCAACTCGTGTTGATATAATTGATATCAGTAGACACTTGGGTGAGATTCTCTATGTATCACTACAGGCTTTCCTCATACTGAAACAAAATGCTGTTCTAAGTGGTGTTAAACATGACTGACTGACTCTCCGTCTCCCTCATGTTCTCACTCACTCACTCACTCTCGCTCTCACTCTCTCACTCACTCACTCACTCTCAGTCAGCAGGGTAGAACTTTATGGAATTCAACTTGTAATAAGATCTTTCTATATTTCCTGTTCACATTTCTATTCATTTCATTTTAACTAAAGTTCAAGGTAACAATTTAAATTAATTTCATTCAACAATCCTTTACATTATTAGTCCAGTTGCTGACTTATTGAATGAGATACTTATCCATTCATTGCCTTAGTTTCCAGGTGTGTCACTTAATGTCATATATGTCTCACGAGATATTGACCAGGTAAACAAACCTGAGTCATCTGAGTGACTTGCCACCTATCTGCTCTTTGAAACAATCCCTCTTTACTCTAGAAGAGCCTCGAAACTGTCAATATTGCCCTCATTCTTTCAGATAAGACGTTCATTTCTGTCACTCATACCATTAGCCAGGACTGGTGCACAAGCTGGTTGGTTGATATTGTTAGTGACTGCCGTTATGGGTGCCCCTTCACCTTTCGTGGGGGAGCAGGTTTTGGCACGTTAATTAGCCTTTCGTTGTTCCTTGCATACTGATCTGGGATAACACCCGAGACCTGACCCACTCTCCCACACTCGGTCATAGACGGCCTCGTTGTACCTGTGTATAGGTACATTGCATTAACCAACCTGCGTTCAACAGGTAGATTTGCATTCTTTGGCTTGAGAATCTAACTTGTGATGTGAGAATGTTGTCTTTGATCTGACATGTGGACATGAAATGTTTCATGATGGAAGTCAATATGGAGTTATTCATACCTGTACCTACCTGTACCTACCTGAAACCAGGAACTACTAAGAAGCACTCAGGTCTTTCAAGATATTCCATGTGATCCTTGTGTAAAACTGACCACTAACATAACAAGAGTACCATCATAGTCTGTTACTTGACTCAACTTACAAAAAGCAGCTATTTTACACAACCACACCTGGTTTAACTTCCTATGCTGTGTTTTTGTGAATGACTGTATTGTCAGTGACCACTGTGGATACTGACCACTGGAATCTACAATGAAAGGTGGGTGTCTATATTTTATCACACGTTTTGGAGTAGATGTTACCATAAGATTTTTTCTGTTATAACACCTGTCATTATAAATGGTCAAACAAAATCAATCTATTATTTTTCATTTACTGATGGGCCAGTGTAATTGAGATTTTTCTTGGTCAACAAGGCAAGGAGAAAAACAATTCCCAAAATATGTTGTGACTGGTTGATGTGAAGTCATCGCAAAAACTGTAAACAAAAGAATATTTAAAAACCTGTGATTAAACATATTATTTACATAATGGTATGAGGTGCATATATTAAACAATAAAAAAAAACTGACCTGACCATTTAAAATTATAGGAAAATAAACTGACCTGACCATCTACCATTAGCAATGTGGTTTCATCTGTCACACTTAATCCCCTACTGTAAACCACCCAAGAGTCTCAACATACTAATCTGATATCATTTTACTGTATGACATATTTTATTACCCTTGAAAGGATATCTATTTTCAACATGCATTTTAATTTACCCATCAGCATCACTCACATACATGTGTGCATAGTGACTCCCTTCAATTACAATGGTGATTTAAGGTAAAGTATGTGCTCAGGCTAAGCAAGTCCACATGATATCTGACGTCACGCTTGTAAACAGACAGTAAGTTGGTTAGGTTACGTGATACTGTTCCATAACATCCAGCTATTCTTCTTCCCTGCTAACTTAAAACACACATGTCAAACCAGCACAAATTCATTAAGGTTGCATGTGTTTGGGCTTAGCTACAAAAATCTTCCAGTTTGGAAATGAAGATTGGAATTACCTGAGGAGCAAGATGAGGTACCCCAGGTGGGGTTCCCCCCAAAATACAATTTTAGAAATAAAAAGTTCTTTTTAACTTTTTTTTTAACAAACGCTGAGGTTTATATGTGAATACAGATCTATGAGAAATGAGGATTTTTTGTGACATTAATCCTCTTGATTGTAGAGGTGAAATATTGAAACGGGACACATTTTCTGTACTCATTTGATATAACTGTATAATTGATCCTCTTAGTTAGCATGTTACCTTATTGCATCCAGTGAAATGACATTGATCACTATAATTATACATGCTAGACAGTGTCATGTACTACTGACACTTATTAGAACCACTAGAACCAGTTTTGATGATCTTTTTGAAGTAGGGATTAATACTTCTTAAGTGATTGAAGCTTTGGGAATTTCTTTTCAAAGACATGTAAGTAAGCTAAGGTTTTAGATGACTGCATTCTAAAATCTTTGATCTCTGTGGGTGCCCATGTGCATCCTCTAAAAACATAAAACACCCGATGAAACCCAATAGGCCATGAAATAATCAGTCTTCAGGCTAATATTATTAGATATTTGAGAAATGCATTACAAGTACTTATGATGTTGTTTCATTTGGGAACATGTGTAACCATCATTGGGTACTTTCGAGGTGTAGACAAACAAGTTACAGATAGGTTTGGGAATTGACTTCACCTGAAAACATGTCTGTAAATATGATCAGGAGCTTGTTATGATAGAGAAGAAACTGACATGAGGTGCTATTAATTTTGTAAACACACTTGGCCAATTGGCATGGATGTTCCAATTGCTTGCCTTACATCTTGAACAGGGACAGAGGTTATAAACTGACACTAAAACCAAACCTAGAAGATCAGAGAGAATGTGTGTGGATCAGACTGTGTAGATGTTAGGGAACTGAGTAAGACCCACGTGCAACTAATAATGATGTCTTCATCTTGTAAGGCTCCCCAGCCTGTTGGTGGAAGCGCCAACTCAGGCCCCTTCCATTACAGATAATTTTATTAGCTTCATAGCTATCTGTAAACCTTGACAAAACAGCACAGGTAGCCTGGCTTCCGAGGCAGCACTAGGGAGGTGATATGTTTGGTGTCAAGAGTGGGATAACTTGGCCGTCTGCTCCACTGTCGTCTGCTCTCTGGTGATCTTCTGCTCATGTGCGTCATCTGTGACATGGTTGGGCCTCTATAATGCTCTTCATCTGCACTTCCCTGTACTGGACTAGCCACTTAATGAGATGGAGATTAGGTGTCACACTGACAAGTAAGACATAATGGCCTACTAATACTAGGGATTAGCCCCTCAACACTGATTGATGGTGTATCATCCTAGTAACAAAATGTTGCATCAAATCTATGCTAATGGTACAAATTTGAAAAAATATTTCCTTCTTTTGGGTTGTGTTTTGTGGTAGTCTTTGTTTG